TTGCTTGGTGAGCAAGATGTGCTCCTTCGTCGCCGTCGGCCCCGGAGACGACGAGAATCGCGCCATCCATCTGAGCGGCGCTGGTGGTCATGTTCTTGACGTAGTCGGCGTGGCCGAGGCAGTCCACGTGGGTGTAGTGGCAGTTCCCAGTCGTACTCGACGGTGGCGGTGTTGATGGTGATGCCCCGGTGTTGATGGTGGGAGGGATGGGTGGGCAGTCGGAGAAGAGTTGGGGGGGGACGCCGACTTGCTTGGCGAGTAAGATGTGCTCCTTCGTCACCGTCGGCCCTGGAGACGACGAGAATCGCGCCATACATCTGAACGGCGCCGGTGGTGAATGGCTGAAGCAGAAAAAAAAAAAAAAAAAAAAAAAAAAAAAAACTCAGACGGGGGAGGCTGAAGAGAAAACGGGAGAGAAAAGGAAAATAAAACGAAAATGGAGAAAACAGCTTTTTTTCGTTTTCTGATTTCCACAAAACGACAAAAACGATTTTGTTTTTGTTTTTTAAAAAAACTTACACCAAACGCGTTTTTAACACCCGTTTTCAATTTTTTGCTTCGAAAAACGTAAAAAATGAAAATGGAAACAGAAACAAACAGGCCCATTGTGTTTATTATATACTAGTTGAAACTGTATGTATACGCTATGAGATTTTGTAGATAAAAATAAAAAAACATATTTATTAGGGTCTCATCGTTTAGAGAAATAAATTAGATTCAAAAACGTAATATATAAAAAGATGTTTGTTTGCGTTGTTGGAATGAAAGTGGGACGAGAAAACAAATTATTATATAAGTGAATGTTTGTGGGAGTGAGGCTGACATGGTGTGAGATTACTCTAATCTGTTTATTTCACCGATTGAAGTTTAGAATTTGAGTTTTGCTATAGTAAAAATCTCTCAAAAATTATCACATCTAACTTTTTTACTATGATAAAAAGTTCTCACATAAAGTCACATCTCAACTTAAATTAAAAACTTAAATCAGCGAACTAAACAAGTCATGCGTGTTTGAAAGAGATGTAAAGTGTTTGATTTGTACTTAAGTAAAGCTCTAACGGACTTGGTCTGATAGGCTTTGTTTCTGTAGACGGTAAAAATCGACAAATCACTTTTGCTAATTAAGACATCGTTCATTTCAACGATTTGAGTTTTGTTACGATAAAAAACTCTAAAAAATATTCACATTTACTTTTTTACTATAATAAAAAATTGTCAGATAAAATTACATCTTAACTCAAATTAAAAACTCAAATCAACGTTCTAAAATTTTTCTTTGTTCTTTTTACTCAAATCGACAAATCACTTTTGTAAGCCTTTAATGGACTTGGTCTGTTAGGTTTTGTTTCCGGGGACAAGTAAAATTCGACAAGTCACTTTTGCCGATTAAAGTTTTCCTTTTTTTTTTCTTCTTTCTTTTTACTCAAATAATAAGAAAGTTTCGATCGCGTAATGCAAAAGAAAACGAAGAAAGTTTCGATCGCGTAATGCAAAAGAAAACGAAGAAAGTTTCTCTTTAACTTGTTAGTTCAATTGGTAGTAGAGTCCAAAAGAGCTAATAATTGGCAAGATTTTTTTTGAAATTGGGTTCAAACAATGATTTGATACATTAAAAAAAAGGTGATTTATATAAATGCCGAGAATCTTAGGAGATGTTTGGTTCATAGATTAGAATCATGTGATTAGAATCATTTTCAATTTACGTGTATTTTTTATGAGAAAAAACACTGTAATGAACCATAAACCATGATTCAAATCATAGTTTGAATCCTCCAACCAAACGTCCCCTTATTTTAAAAAATGCTTACTTTATTGTTTATTTATAAAACTTTGACTATTACATATATAAAGACATTTTTATTCTAAAAAAAGGAAAAATAATTAAACCACAAAAAATGTATGAAAAGTGAGACAATTGAAAATTAAACATTATGAGTGCGTTTGGAATTGGTTCCAAAACGTTTTTGTTTTTTGTATAAAAATAAAAACAAAAACGTTTTTATTTTTATTTTGGAATCATTTCTGAAAATGCGTTTAATAGTTTTATTTTTATTTTGGAATTATTTCTAAAAATGCGTTTAGTAGTTTTATTCTGAGATTATTTTCAGTTTAAGAAAACTGAAATTGTGTTTAGTAGTTTAATTTTTAAAAACATGTAATAATATTTAAATTAATAATATATTAAATAAATAATAATATTAAATATATTAAATAATAATATAATAGGGGCGGGCGCAGACGCGGGGGGCGGCGCGCAATCTCAGAGTGGAAATGAAAACATGAAAGTGGAAAAAATTTGTTTTCAGAAACACAAGAAAAAAAGAGAATGAAAACGGTGTTTTCAATTTTAATTTTAGAAAATTTTAGGCCGCTTTCTGTATCCATTTTCAATTTTTTTTCTCGAAAACTGTGAAAAATGAAAATGAGATAAAAAACAAACAGGCCCTATAAATTTTTTATATAGAAAAGTCAACTACGATAAAAAAAAAAACACAACAATTACATTTAATAAAATTATGTAATGAGAATACAACTCTTTTATTTAAAAACAAAAAAATAAACAAAAGAATAAACTATATGCACTTAAAAACACAAAAAAAAAAAAATAAAAAAAACACAACAATTACATTTAATAAAATTATGTAATGAGAATACAACTCTTTTATTTAAAAACAAAAAAATAAACAAAAGAATAAACTATATGCACTTAAAAACACAAAAAAAAAAAAATAATAATAAAACTATACAACGATGACAAAAAAGGGTCAAAAGCCCAAACTGAAAAAGCATTTTCATTAAAATGATAATGAACCCATAATGAAAAGAAAAGCAAAGCCATAAGTATTATTATGTACATAAAATCGTCAAAAAATATTACAATAAAAAAGAAAAATGATCATACCGTAATGAAAGAAAAATTCTAATAAAGAAAAAAATAAATTACTTTAACCAAAAAATATGTACAGAAAAAATAAGTATTTTCATTAAAATAATGATTATATCATAATAAAAATGAGAAGTAAAACAATAAGTAATATCATTCACAAAAAATCATCAAAAAAAAAAAAAAACATTGCAATAAAAAATTATTATTATCAGACCATAATGAAAAAAAAAAAAAATTTAAAAAAGAAACACAAAACATCACAAAAATATGAACATAAAGAAAATGTTTTCTCTAAAATATTGATCAAACCATAATAAAAGAAAATTTCTAAAAAAGAAAAAACAAAAAATATCACAAGAAAACATCAACAGAAAGAAAATATTCTCTAGAATAACAATCAGACTATAATAAAAGAAAAATTCTAAACAAAAAGATACATAAATCCTCACAAGAAAATATGAATAGAAAGAAAATATTTTCTCTAAAATAATGACCAAACCATAATGAAAGAAAATTGCAAAATAATAAATAATATTATTCAACATTACAATAAAAGAAACATGATGAGACCATAATGAAGAATAGATAATTTCATTATTTAAATTAGATATGAAACATGGGAATATATGATATGCAAAGAATAGATAATTCCATTACGAGTAATTCTATACAATGTTCAATTGAAAGGAAAGGAGTTCAATCTCATATGCTGAGTGAGAAACTCCAAGATGATGAAAGCAACAACATACAGCACCAGATTGCAAAAAAGAATCAATCCAACACTTTGGGGCAATAGCATTAACTTAAAGTGTGCTCTCCTCACTCAAACTTTCAGCAGATTCGACCAGCCAAACCTTGATATCCATTGTTTGATGTGTTTTAAAAAGGCATGACATCCGTTATAGAGCCTCCAACTTCTGGCTATCCTGTGCTTCCTTCAGAAAGTTGAGCCGAGTTTGTGTGGTCCGCTTACAACCAACTGGTAAAAGCAGATAAATATGCTTAGATTAGCCAACTTGAAGGACTGCTGATACTTGATGTGCTTGAGGGGAAAAAAAAAAAAAAAAAAGGTGGTGGGGAGGGAGAGAGAAAGAAGAAATGTCCAAAAAAAAAACAACCTTTTTCTTTACATTCTTTGTTAGAATCAAGGACAGAAGCTTTCCACTCGTCATATGCATGCTTTTCCAGTTTCTTGTGCCGCTTGTAACTAGACAGCTGCAAGTTCATCACAAGCATTTTGCATAAAAAATTTTGTTCAATGGGTATTTGAAGACATAGAAGAAGAGGAAAAATGAATTAAAAAAACATTCAAATATTCACGCAAATTCACAATGTTAATGTCTAACAATTACAACGATAGGTGAGAGAACCCTGAATTGATTTTTAATTTTTATTTTTAGTTTGATTCAAAAATATATTCAGATATCATTCACATAAATTTGCAATATTCATCATGTAGAACCTTAGCTTTGAAAATGGATGGAGGATGGTATCCAATTTGGTTTGACATATAGGTCCTCTTCTCTGTTCAAATTGAACAGGTTTTCTTTGTTTTGAACAATTTTCACGTACAACAAAAGCCATTACTAGCTCATAGAAATGAGAAGTCACAATACATCCCTTGGAAAATGTGCTAAAAAGAATTATGGTTTCATATCTGTAAAGAAATCAACACGAGAACAAAGAACCTATGTAGCTTTTGGAAAGGATTTTCAATTTTCATATGTATACTATTGAACAATAGACATGGCAAATAAGAGATTGTAACATTATTCAACCTAGGGCCAACACGACTACAGAAAAAGACTAGGACAGACTCCACAGACATGCCTTTGCATGCAGATGCTAATTAGAAGCGAATGCAACCAAAGTCAGCAGCTAATAGCAACCTAAGCAATCAGATAACGCGAATGCTTGTACCTCTTCTCCTTCGTCAGATAAATAACCACCATCCGCAGGCGTCCTTTTTCCTGGCAAAACATCTAGCAGTTCTGCGTACAAAAGTGTAAAGCAATAAACAACTAATGAAATTAAAAGCTTCCAAGTAAAGCGTATCATAGAAGATAAAGTCACAGACTTCCAAAATGAATATAGCAATGAAACCTACCTCGGTTTCCCTTCACATCCCTAGGATCCTTTTTCTCCTTTGTTATGCCATAAACATCAAAACACAAGTCCTTCATGGAAGTAGAAACCTGCCAGTAAAGTTAATCATTGCATTAATCATTTGAATCCAAGAAAACCATAGTTGGCGAGAGCAACTAACTTGCATAGTAGGAAATGCAGCTCTTACCGAAGAGAACTCGGATTCTGAGGAACCACAAAGCTCAATCAACTTAAGCTTGTCTACCTTTAGCTGTAAAACAGATAAACAACGGTACATTGGAATGAGTAGGAATTATAGGTAGGCTCATTTATTTTATCCCTAGTCTGTGTTAGTAACAACGAGTACATTCATTAAGGGTGTACCTTTTGCTTTTTTGCACACAAGTAGAACGCTACAGCAGTAAATACAGGTCGAGCAAAGTCTGCATTTGCACGACGAGAAGCTGGCAACGATGCAAGAAACCGTTCCTTATATCTAAAAAGCAAAAGCATGCAAAACCCAGAGTTAGAACCAAATTGTTTAACAAAATAAACCCATTTAACACCTCTAAAGTTCCATAATAAAAATCTGACTAACTTTAACCAATGATATCCAGCAGTGTCCGCCTCACATGTGAAAATAATAAACTTAGTTGCTCAGAAACATTTCGTCAAACACCTAACAACTCTTTTATCTAATCTAGCCACATCAACTAAGAGTTTCACTCTTTACTATAAACTGACGGATATTGAAAACAGCAGAATTGTACAAAAAGGGAACGGATCTTACAGCGACATGCCCTTCTGCACAAAAGGGATAATCCTAACACACCCAAATTGAATGGCTAATTCTCTAACATCCAGCTTATTCCTGCATCACCAAATATACACATTTTTTTAAGTACTAAGAAATATTAAGGCCTCGTTCATTTCACCAATTCAAGTTTTTAATTCTAATTTTGTTACAGTTAAAAACTCTCACAAAAGTTTACATTTAACTTTTCTACTACAATGAAAAACTCTCGTATAAAATTGCATCTCAACTCAAATTGAAAACTCAAATCCACAAATTGAACGAGACCTAAAAGAAAAAACCACAAAAGTGATAAATGAAAGTGACTCACTTGACACCAAGACCATTCTGAAGCGAATTGTACGATCTGGTGTAAGCCTTTTCGGACATTCCACTCAACCTTGTTGCACTTGACCGATCGAACAAAACCCCCATTCTACGAATCATTGAAATCACATTGTAAAATGCACGACTAATACTATAATCCAAACATTAATAAACTACACAAAAATTAAGGTGCCTAATTTACCTTGTCGCCGCGATTTCTAAACAGATCACAGCTTTGCAAACCTCTCCCTGCAAATCACGAACAAACTCCGACATTACCGAGACAACCACTTCAAAATCAAAAACACAAAATTCATAGGCTCTTTCGATTATCCAAGGATTGGAACAAAAACTTACGACGCCAATTATGGAGGAATCGAACTGGACGTCGCAGAGGCGACGAAGCTCGGCGGCTTTCCGAATGAGGTGCTTTGACTCTGAGATCTCAAGCTTCTTCGCAATCTCGGAGAGATCCATTATCGTAGTACGAGGTCCGATTTGATAAAACCCTAGGGACTGTGATTTGGGGATGATGCGGTAGAGGGATGGTTTTTGCAGATTGCAAAATGAAGATGTAGAAGAAGATAACCGATTTATTTTTAGCCTTTGGCGGGAACGAATTTTTCGTCATTTTTTTTGTTTTTTTATTTTTTCATCTCCTCCTTTTGAAATATTATTTCGCGCCCAAACGATTACTGTGATTCGCGGGCATTTTTGGGCGCCCAAACGAAACTAATTTCGATCGTACTAGGTAATAGAATAGTTTTTAGCTTGTTCTTTTTCCTTTTTCTTTCGTTTGCCGAGAAATTAGAGATTTACTAAAATCCTCCTCACGCCATTTTGCGATTTTACATTGTCGTTTTGAGCATTACGTTGTCGTTGATATTAAGATGAAAAATTAGTTAGAAAGCTCGCTACTCTAGTTGTTTGGACTTTGGAATCAGAGAAGCGAAATCTGTGAGGAAAAATAAGTTTTTCAAAAAAAAAAAAAAAAGACGAAAAATATGTTAGATAACGTAAAATGTAGAGAAAATATTGTTAAAAAAATGTCAATAAAATGTATGCACAGAGAAGGAGAAAAGATATATGAGCACGTAATCCTTTTTATCACCATCTTTGAATCACCGAAATGGACAGCAGAGCATATGTTTATCCAATGCATTTCTCCACCAATTTCGTTAGTATTTGACATCACAAAATCTCTCTTCAGAGGCTGTTTCAAGTTCCAACCTTCGACATAGTTTCCAGACCTCGAACATTACAAAACTAGGATCGATAACTCAACCAATGCAAACACAATATAACTTCGATAAATTAATAACCTCGATTGAGTAATATTTTGAACTGGTCCCCTTCTTTGCAACAATCTAACAGACGGTCTTCATAATAAAATGTATGTGTTCGGGGGAAAATAAGTTAACCTTTCAAAGTTTCCATATTTCCACTTAACCTATTTAGGAAACTCTTGATCACACCTTTTTCCTTCCTCTAAGCTTTTCCAAGTTCCAACTAGAGCTAACCATAGTAACTTGTGCGGCCAAATAGTTTCCGGCTTAAGCAACTAAATCAAATTGTAATTCTTACAAAATCAACAGACTTAAAAAATTAAAGCACATTCGAACGGAGCAAACCCTTTCCCTTTTCTCGTTTCATCCTTGCAGTGTGACAACTTTCCTGTAGATCTGCTTTAAATTAACCAACATCCAGAAGTTGATAGTATGTGGCTAAAGGCAGTTGTCACATATGAACAATATAAGCAAAACCGTCACTCGAGTTCCAATCACCCTCATAATTAGTACTATCAAGCTCTTCTCCAATAATCATCCGTCACTTGAATGAATAAAAGCTAGATTGCTACTTGGATGCCTCAATGGAAGGTTCCTCTGTCCCACCGCTATTAACCAACTAGTAAAACAGAAAAGGAAATAACATTTTAGTACTCAGTTTAAAAAAAATAAATAATAATACTAATAAAGAAGAAGTAGAATGAGGATTTTATGCTTTATACCAAGGAACCAAGTTGTTCATATGCTTCCATCACTTTTGGATCTTCTACATCTTCATACCCAACTTGTACTATCCTGGGTCCATTGACAGACCAAAAGGCTCTTCTGCCCGCCTCCTGGAAAAATGTGGTGAAACTGGATAAGGGCACGTAAAAACAGCTCCTTGACAAGAAGTAATTACTCATTGATACAATTGTGACATAAACTCTAAAAGGACATAAAATAGAGAGCCTGTAGAAACAGCTCCTACAGAAAAATCTGTTTTTTTCCGAACAAAATGCTCACAAATGGAGTCATTGTAAGATGTAGGCTCAAGGCTGGTTTTGCACACTGATGACTTATATTTGTGCATTAGACATTTTAGGAGAAAATTATATCGATAATTTGATACCGTGTCATCCGATTATATTTTCTCCTTTATCAACCTCGTCTTTGTTGTTTATGTTTCCTTTGTTCTTAAATTTGGACCCTTGTTTCTCACTAGTATGATTATCAACCCAAGACAAATACAACTTATAGCACTCTTAATTTTTGACAGGTAACTGTGAATATAACTTGTAGAAAATTTCCAACGTGCACGTAAAATACGGACCCCTCTTAAATCAAGATCAGGATTCCCTTAATTCAAGATACGGAGAAACTATATTTGTTTTGGTAGCAGGTAAGAACATAGAACACAGCCAGGTGTTACTTATTTGACCTGTAATGATATCAAGTATATTGCCTCCAGTGCTTGAATTCGAATTTCAGGATCAACAACTGTCTCACGTTCAATTGAGAGCACGGTTCCAAGTTCAAGGGGCATTTTTGACGTGTCTTGTTCACTGTAAACCTAGAAGAATCACCAAACAATTAAAAAATAATGAAGATAATAGCCACCAGTTTGCAACATATCAACAGGCGCAGACACAATAGAAAAGATCTTAAATCATAATTTGTTTTGCAACAAAGTAAAAGTAAATTCGTGTGCGTAAACGTAAATTGGAAAAAGAATTACAATCTGATACATTTTTGTTATAAATATGAAACAAACTAATAAGTTCTATGTTAGAACAAACTAATGAGCGATTTTATCAAAACAAATAGCAGCTTAATCTTAATGATAAGCCCCCAATCCACGTGACCCATGCTAGGAAGCATAAGGAAGGTGAGGCAGGGGCCTTAAGTTCTGTGATATGCTAAAGGTAGCGTGGGTGACTTAGTGCATCTATAAGTATGAAGGTAAAAATAAATAGTAAGTTGAGAATTAGTGACAGCGGGCCAAGTTTTTCTGGTGTAATTCTTGGACAATCCAAGATAGGGAGAGCGGTGGACTCTCGAACCTCCACCATTGTTAGGGTTTTAGTTGATCAATTCTATCGATTGTACAGATTGATCCATCATAAAGATTCCATTCTTCGATTCAAGTGTGTGTTGAGTTAGGGTTTTACCACTTAACTATCATGAATTGCAAACAACCTTATCCACTACCCTGGACTTGGTAAAAGTTTGTGTATACTGATAAATCTTTTCCAATCAAGCTACAACCCATTATGCAGTTTTTGTTCCATTATCAAGCAACCAAATACTTCGATGTTGATTCAAGAAGCATCGATGTTTCAACCCATTATGCAGTTTTTGTTCCATTATCAAGCAACCAAATACTTCGATGTAGATTCAAGAAGCATCGATGTCCCTCCTAAAATAGTTGATAAACTATATAATGAAGCAGCATTTGACCCTCTCTCTCTCTCTCTCTCTCTCTAACACACACAAACACACAAAATCCCAGCGTTAAGTCAAGGGGAGCTTTTTTCTACTCAAGTTCGAAACTAGCAGCAGGGAACAGAGATATATACATCAAATAAAATAGCCGATAAACTATATAATGAAGCAGCATCTGACCAGTCTGATGAAATAAGGTAGGCCTCGTTTATTTCACTAATTTGAGTTTTCAATTCCAGTTTTGCTACAGTTAAAAGCTCTCACAAAAAGTCTAATCTAACTTTTTCTGTTATAGTGAAAAGTTCTAACATAAAATCACATCTCAACTCGAATTGAAAACTCGAATCCACAAACTGAACGAGGCCGTAGTTTTGAGTAAAAAAGGTTAGACTACCTTGTTTCCAGCAACTGGCAAAAGTAGAGCTGGCCAAAGAAACTCTGACATCAAAAGCAAATTCTGTAGCTGGCTCTCAGCTTCAAAACAACAGTTGCGAATTGTACCAAAAACCTACAAAAAAAAAAAAAAAAAAAAAAAAACCCCCCCAACTAAGCCTGAGATGACATACAAAACACACAGAATCAGATTTCCCATCCTGCTTCTTTGCTTATTCATTATAAGTCATTACTAATTAAAGGCGACAGCCGAAAGACGCATACTTCTCTAAAAACAAGCAAGGACAATAACATAAAAGAATCTAGGGACTTTGAGTTACTGAAATTATACATACCCCTTTCCTTCTCAATGAACTACTTGAATCAAACTGTCTAACAATCTGCTTTAAAAGCCCCCGCTTAGGGTCCAATAAAAGTTTCCTTCCTGCTTCCTGATTCGAGATGTTTACAAGTATGGAACCAACATGTTCGAATGCATCCTCTGGTAGGTGTGCAAATAAAAGTGTCAGACTATGTTAAACCACTTTTCGAGTATTGACAAATAAACATGCTAACATACAGGACAGAAGTTGACTAAACTTAGAAGTCGATTTACCACTAGTTTCACTGGAGGATCTACAAAATGATCTAACAAGCTTCATAACATAAAGTCCTTGCATCTTCTCATCTTCAGTCTGAAAATTAAAGCATTTCAATTATAAGTGATTAATCCATTAAAGTAAACATACAGAAATATTATCAAGTAAGGCTTAGGAAAACACACCTGAAGCAAGGAAGTGATACCAGCATCCAACTGCGTAAGATTCACTAGAAGCATAACCAACAATTGTCTAATGCTAGACTCTGGCTTATATAACATATCCATGGCCGTTTTAGTCATTCCCATCTCGACCATCTTTTCTGCCAAAACAGAATCCTGTGAAAGATTTACAAGAGCTTCTGCTGCGGGTTCCGAAATCTCCTGAATTGTCAAAACAACAATATTAAACACACAAACAGAAACAAACTCCCGACGAAAACAATAAAATCACACACATTACTTCATTTCAACTGATTTTCAAACTCATCTTTGTTAGCGTGAGCTGTCCAGCCTGGATACAAGGGGGATTTGAGGATCAATGAGTTGACCTCAATTCCACAATATATGCAGCATGATTATAGAAGATAATAACCCAAAATAGTTGATAGTTTCCTAGAATAGTTTGATTTGTCTTTTCTTACTCAGAATAGCATAAATAGACATTCCTAGAGTAGTCTCTCTGTAAATGTATATAGCAGACACGTGTATTACCTTTACGTATGATAGAATACAAAAGTAGCTTTTTCCTCTCAAAGTTTCTTTATGGTATCAGAGCGTAGATTCTAGGACCTATAGAACACGCGAGAAAAAAAGAAGAAAAAGAGAGAGTGGAGGAGCAGGAGATGTACGTTGCAGGAATGGATGATTCAATTGTGGTGGCGCAAGATTCATCAGGAGAGAGTGCTGCTATGACAGAACTGGCAACCCAGATGGCACGGATGCTGAACCAGACTCAGATCCAGTCTTCAAGCAATGAAGCGGCAGGACAGATCGGAGTGAAACTTGATGGAACCAACTATGCTTTGTGGTCTCAGGTGGTTGAGATGTACGTTGCAGGCAAGGATAAACTCGGGTATATAAATGGGGAATTGCATCAACCTCAAGAGACAGACCCGAGTTATAAAAAATGGAGGACTGAAAACGCCATTGTGAAAGGATGGCTGATTAACTCTATGGACCTGAGTCTGATAGGAAATTTTATCAGATTTCCAACGGCAAAGGCAGTGTGGGACAACATAGCCACGACTTATTTTGATGGAGCTGACACCTCACAGGTTTATGGACTCAAGAGACAGGTGATGAGACTTAAACAAGGAGGAGGATCCATTGAAACTTACTACAACAATCTCCAAGGATTATGGAGGGAGATTGATTTCCGACGACCGAACCAGATGGAATGTGAACAAGACATAGAGAGGTATAATTCTATTGTGCAAGAAGATAGAGTTTATACCTTCTTGGACGGGCTAGATGACCGTCTCGATAAGATCCGAGGCAATGTACTCCACATGAGACCATTCCCCACCGTAGAGCAGGCATACGCACACGTCCGGAGGGAAGACATGAGACAGGCAGTTATGATGACCAAAGAAAACTTCACCAATGGAGCCGCGATGCTTTCTAAAAGAGGACAGAAACCGCAGGGGCTGCATATGATAGCAGGAGACAAGCAGACGAAGGCTAGGCCACAAGGGGAAGGGGACTGCACACACTGTGGGAACACGAAGCACACTAAAGAAACATGTTTCAAGTTACATGGATATCCGGATTGAACTTAAAGCAAAGAAGAAACGTGTTTCTAGTGCAAGCAAGAAACCTGGCCGAGCGTTACTTGCAGACACAAAATCACAGTTGCAGCTTTCACTTGTACCACGGGGAGAGTCTTCCTCAAGAGAATCTGAAGCTCCGAATGATCTAGGTAACAGTGGATGTGTTATGTTTTGCTCTAACCAGGAAAATTGCCATAGTTGGATTGTTGATTCAAGAGCAACCGATCACATGACCAATGATCCACAAGATTTAATCAAGCCTACAGAAAAAAGAAGAACCTGTATCTCCAATGCTAATGGAGTCAAGTATCCGGTAGATGGGGCTGGAATAGTTGCACTCTCACCCTCCTTGTTGTTGACAAATACCTTACTTGTTCCATCTCTTACAAGTAAACTAATTTCGGTAGGACAAGCAACTGAGGAATTAAATTGTTGTGTGTTAATGTACCCTATGTTTTGCTTGTTTCAGGATATTCTCACCAAGGAGATCATAGGCCGTGGTACTAAAAAGGGGGGGCTATACTACATGGATGATTTCAGTCTTGGCAGAGTTAATAATGTGCGGCAGATTAATAACAAGGAGAGACATATTTGGTTATGGCATAAGAGACTAGGGCATCCATCGTTTGGTTATTTGAAACACCTATTTCCTAAACTATTTTCGAATTTACAAATATCAGATTTTGAGTGTGAAACTTGTATCCAAGCTAAGAGTCACCGTGTGCCTTTTCCTCTAAGGTCAAATAAATGTGAAATTCCTTTTGTTTTGATTCATTCAGATGTGTGGGGACCAGCCCCCATCACTGTTCAGTCAGGTGTTAGATGGTTTGTAACCTTTGTCAATGATTACACTCGTATGACTTGGCTTTATTTAATGAAAAATAAGAATGATGTGTTTGGTATTTTCCAGTCTTTCCATAGCATGATAAAGACTCAATTCTCGGCTAATCTTCAAATACTAAGAACAAATAATAGGGGGGAATATGTCAACAACGAGTTTGGGGAGTATTTACTGACAAGTGGTATCCACCATGAAACAGCGTGTTCTCAAACACCCTAACAAAACGGAGTGGCGGAGCGGAAAAATAGACACATCCTAGAAACAACACGAGCTCTCCTGGTTGCAGCCCATGTACCTCGGCGATTTTGGACTGATGCAGTTGTCACTGCAGTGTATTTGCTGAATAGGATGCCATCAAGAGTTTTGGCTTTCCGTACTCCATTACAATACTTGGCCCAGCATGTGCCCCTACCATCAATTCTCATGCTTTCACCAAAAGTTTTTGGCTGCGTTGTCTCCGTACACCTCCACAGGAATCAAAGAACGAAACTAGATCCAAGTGTTGTTAGATGTATCTTCCTAGGATATGGAACACACACAAAAGGCTATAGGTGTTATGACCCTACCACCAGACGCGCGTACATCACTATGGATGTCACATTCGTTGAGTCAGAAACCTATTTTCCAAAGCCAACCGATTATTCTCTTCAGGGGGAGACACTGAGTGAAGAGGATAATTGGGAAGAATGGTTTGTTTTTGGACAGCCCGAGTCCATACAGTCCATGCAGTCTACGTCCATGTAGCCTCTTAAGCAGCAGCCCGTGCCTCCTCAGTAGCCTAAGCAGTCCATGCAGCCTCTTAAGCAGCAGCCCGTGCCTTCTCCACAGCCTGAGCAGTCCACGCAGCATGAATGCACGCCTCAGTACAAACCCATAGTGATTAATGAGCAGCCTGAGCAGTTGTTAGACAATGAGGAAATTGAACAGCCCGAGCAAGAACAGCCCGAGCAGCACCCCCTAGTACCAGGCCACTCTCCTGAGAATATTCCTAAGGTACAAGTTCTAGACTCCCCTCTTGGCTCTCATGAATCTGGTGTTTTTAAACTGCCCTTTAGACACAACAGGGGAAAGCCACCGGACAGGTACTCACCGGAATATGGAGGAAAAAAAAATCAGCCTATCCAATCGCCAATCATGTCTCAACAACTAGACTGTCAAAACCTCTTGAGGGCTTTGTTCAGGGACTATCAGCCAAGCACATACCCAGAAATGAGCAGGAGGCCATGGAAAACCCCAAGTAGGTTCAAGCAATGATTGAGGAGATGGAAGCTTTGCAAAAGAATGAAACTTGGACATTGATGCCGCTACCTCAGGGAAAGAGGACGGTAGGTTGTGAATGGGTGTTCTTAATCAAGCATAAATCCGATGGGTCAGTTGAAAGATACAAAGCCAGACTTGTAGCAAAGGGATATACTCAAACCTATGGGCTGGATTACCATTAGACTTTCTCACCAGTTGCGAAACTAAACACGGTCAGAGTACTACTCTCTTTAGCTGCAAATTTAAATTGGCCGTTGCACCAGTTTGATGTGAAAAATGCCTTTCTCCATGGAGAGCTCAAGGAAGAAGTCTACATGGATGTCCCACCAAGCTTCCTTACATCATCGAAGACACGAGTTGTATGCAAGCTGAAAAAGGCGTTATATGGACTAAAACAATCACCGAGAGCGTAGTTTGGGCGGTTCACTCTGGCTATGGTGAAGCATGGTTTTAAACAAAGCAACTCAGATCATACCTTATTCTTGAAGCACCATCAAGGGAAAGTGACAGCTCTAATAATTTATGTTGATGATATGATCATTACAGGAGATGACAATGAGGAAATTCAAAGGCTACAGGAGCATTTAGCCTCTGAATTTGAGATGAAGAACCTTGAGTCCTTAAAGTATTTTCTCGGCATTGAGGTAGCTAGGTCAAGTCAAGGTATCTTCCTGTCACAAAGAAAGTATGTACTCGATTTATTATCGGAGACTGGAATGCTTGACTGCAAGCCTGCAGACACTCCAATAGTTCAGAACCATGGCTTGAAAGAGGACTCAGACCGAGCTCCTACCAACAAGGGAAGATATCAGCATCTTGTAGGAAAGTTGATTTACTTATCCCGTACTCGACCTAACATTGCATATGCTGTGAGTTTGGTGAGTCAGTTTATGCACTGTCCTAGTGAGGAGCATATGAATACTGTTATTCGAATCCTTCGGTACTTGAAGGCAGCGCCTGGAAGAGGACTCATGTTTAAGGAGAATAACCATCTTAAGATTGATGGCTATACTAATGCAGACTGGGCAGGGAGTATCACTGAGAGAAAATCTACATCAGGATACTTCACTTTTGTGGGAGGGAACCTGGTTACTTGGAGGAGTAAGAAGCATAAAGTGGTTGCACTTTCCAGTGCAGAGGCCGAGTTTAGAGGAATGGCTAAAGGCTTGTGCGAGCTGCTATGGTTGAAGAGGTTACTAGAAGAAATTGGATATCCATCCGAGTCTCCAATGAATATGTTTTGTGATAACAAAGTAGCAATAGAGATAGCACATAACCCAGTCCAACATGATCGTACAAAACATGTGGAGGTGGATCGACACTTTATCAAACAGAAGCTTGAGGAAAAAATTGTTCAGTTCCCATTTGTAAAGTCGGAAGATCAGTTGGCAGATATACTCACAAAAACAGTTCCTACCAAGGCATTCTATAGCTCACTAGACAAGTTAGGCATTGATGATATCTATGCACCAACTTGAGGGAGAGTGTTAGCGTGAGCTGTCCAACCTGGATACAAGGGGGATTTGAGGATCAATGAGTTGACCTCAATTCCACAATATATGCAGCATGATTATAGAAGATAATAACCCAAAATAGTTGATAGTTTTCTAGAATAGTTTGATTTGTCTTTTCTTACTCAGAATAGCATAAATAGACATTCCTAGAGTAGTCTCTCTGTAAATGTATATAGCAGACAAGTGTATTACCTTTACGTAGGGGTGTTCGTCGGTTCAGTTTTGTCGGTTTTGGTCGGTTCGGTAGCCGAACCGACCATGTCGGTTTTCTAAAAGTTAGAACCGAAACCGAACCACACCTAACATTTTCGGTTCGGTTAACCAAATTTCGGTTTCGGTTCGGTTTCGGTCAGTTTTGGTCGGTTTTCGGTTTTGGTAATCAAGAAGATGACCTCAGTTAATCATCAGGTTACCAGCATCTTTAATTGCATTTTTGACCCGCAAGTACGAAAAAATGTAAAATTTTCCTTCAATGTAAAGTTGCAACCACGGAATCACAATAAATGAATACAAGCACAACATCAAAATTGATAATTGCACAAACACAAGTTTAAAAAACATTTAAATTGTCATAAGTAAAACAAAACGAAAACATAAAAAAAAAAAAAAAAACCCAATCTCGGTCGGTTCGGTTTTCACCGACTCTCTACACCCAAAACCGAAACCGAACCGACTTTTGAGGAAGTCGGTCGGTTAACCGAACCGACTGTGTTCGGTTCCACGTGGCACCGTCGTTTTCGGTTTTAACCGGTCGGTTTCGGTTTTACGGTTTTTTTGTACACTTACGTGTGATAGAATACAAAAGTAGCTTTTTCCTCTCAAAGTTTCTTTAATCTTAACTGACAATTTCTTAAAACTATCAATACAGCCTATAATCATAGTCTGCTTCGAAAAGGGGTCACTTTTATCCTAAATTCTAAGACTAAATAATGAAGTCGAAAGAGCACCTTCTTGGCACTTAAGAGCCGAGACAACGATGGCAATGCAGTCTTAGCATAAATTGAAAGAGATTTCAATCCATCGTCGGACCCAGTTAATCCCCGAACAATATCCACAGCCGCCTTTGTCACCTGCATAGCCAAATTTCTTCGTCAAATATGAGAGAGAATTAAAGTTTAAGAAAGTGAAATCATCATGATAAATTAACGGAATCGACTCAATTTCCAGTATTGGAACGAGAAAATTAATTTGGTAGCTGCAAAGTTGAGAAGACGAAAGAAAGTTCGTTCTTTTTTAGCATAATTATGCTTCTTCAGCTAAAAGCTATAAAGAGAAATTTGGAATTTTCTGGCTCTTTTACTTTACTTTCCTTGCGTTTCTCGGCAGACAAACGCTGTCGAGAAAAGCTTACCTTAGGAGATGGTGAAGAGAGGAAGCCCACAAGTTCTTCCAGTTCGGTCGCCATTGCCGCACACAGTACACAGGCGAGTCTCTTCCGCAAACTGCTTACAAAAGTATACAAAGTCCAAATCCTCGACCAAACGGCGTCGTGCCGTCATGGCTTAAATGAATTCGTTTTATTCGTTGATTTTTTATATCAATATTTGGGTATTTTTAGTTAGATTTATATTTTTCTTTTATTTATTGTTACAATTATCATTTTTAAGATTTTTAGGTTTGATTTATTTTTACTTGAGAAATTAGAACAAGATAGACCTTTTTCTTTTTTGAAGATTTGGAACTTGACTCCTATAAATGGAGTGTGTTTTTTCATGAATTTCATTCTTTGAGAGCTTTCAGAATGCATGTAATGTACAACCCTATTGTAAAAAACTCATGTATGATATGCTTAAGGTTACATTATTTATAAATCACATGTAATTTTAACTCGTATAAGAACCTGTATAACCAAAATTAATACACATTATTGTACAATCTAGTGTACTCTTTATGTGTCGTGCACAAAATAGGTTTTTAGTGTTCGCCACCTAAATGCTAACTACTCTAATTGCAGAATCAAATTGAATGTAAATAGCGTCTGAAGATGTGACTAGCAAAATCTACTATACAAAGAACTCGTTTACAAAATATTGTCACTAGGGAGTTGCTGAGGTAAGATTGCCGTGTTAAAGCAACAGCGAATTGGACATATTTAAGAGTGAAATATGGGCTCTGTAAAGTGTAAGCAAACAAAGCGAGGAGCAAAAGAAATTTGGAATTTTCTTGTGTTTTAAGAAAATAATGGTCCATTTAATTCACTAATTTAATTTTTTAATTCTAATTGATATGTGATTTTATATAAAAAAAAAATTATTATAATAAAAAAATTAAATATAATTATTTTTAAAAAATTTTTACTGTATTAAAACTTAAATTTTAAATTTAAATTAATAAAATAAACAAAATCTAAATAATTACTTCTTTTTTCTTTTTCCTTTACTGTTGACTATCTTCCTTCCATGCTTGTCCTTCCATATCAGAACAAAACATCTGAACACGTTCAGATGGAACCCGAAAAATGTTTTAAAATACTTCTTGCCAAGCTACTGCCTATAATAGACTTATTTAATTTGCTAATTTAAATTAAGATATTATTTTATATAAAAAAAATTTTACTATAATAAAAAAATTAAATGTAAAGTTTTTTATCGTCACAAAACTCTAATTCTTCTCAATAAATTCCCTCTCATTAAGAATGAAAAGAAATAGTTCGTCACGTTTTGACAACACTTTCCTTGTCCTAATAAAAATCACAGGAAATAATTTAATCTACAATTCTACATTACATCTTCACACTCGAAATTATCTGCTTCCAATGCAAGACAGTCAGGAAACTTGAACGGCAACTCCGTCAAAGGGTGGTCGCCGCATAACCCTTGGCATGCCTGACCCAACGTGTAGCCCAACGCAATACCAACCGGTACTGATACTGCATTTCCAATCTGAATATACCTGAAAAGGAACTTGAAAAACATTTAGAGAAACGAAGTATAACCGAATAGACTAGTCCAGTTGCTGAGTCTCTAAAAGAAAGATGTTACAAACAATCGAAGAACCATGTCCATTGTTAGTTCATTATATACCTCTCTTTGATTGGGCCACAAAACTTGTAAAAGTCCGGAAAACCTTGCAATCTTGCGAGTTCTCGAACTGATAGTACTCGGTCTTGTTGAGGATGAACTATAGCCTAGCAACATTAAACAACCATGACTAGTTAAAAACAAGTACAAATGCACTCTATATTGCAAAAGGGCCAAACAAAAAACTTGCTACGAACCTGATTATGGGGTTCTGCTCTTGTCACAACAGTGGCGATAATTTCGTCCCACCACACTCTACCAAATGGCCTGGATATCAAATGTGTCAGATATATTGAAACGAGAATTGAAAAAGAAAATGTCACAATACAAAAAAAAAAAAAAAGGCACCTACTTTGTGGATCGGCCACCCACAAATTTAATAGCATAATCAGGAACCTGTTAAATAACAATAAAACAAGTCAGTAAGTGAACGCAAAACTCAGCTTGCAATCAAATTATTCAACAAGACACGGCCAAAATTTTTACCAAAAACTTCCCAGAGGCAACCATGGGCCTCGGAATCGTAGAATCTAGGTATACAATATTGTCACTGCCAACTAACACTCCAGGCAAGTCTCTAAAATTAGCACCCTGGAAAATATATATATACACACACACACACACAACAAAAAGAACTGAGCTACTGATACAGTTATAATGATAGTAAAAGTTCAAGAAATGTAATTACAATCTTTAAGGTACAGCTATGCAAACCTTTTTCTTAGGTATACTTTGTACTCTTTCGTAATCATCATCGTTCAGCTTTCGAGGACGATGATCAAACAGCATACCAGATTTTAGAGAACTTGTAGTCACACCCTCAATACCAATCACCTCTATAAGAAAAGAAAAAATAAACAAGCATGAGGGCTTAGAAAGTACAGACATATTATAATACATATATAATACATATAAAGCATTGCATGTTTCTGTGTCTCTACATTCACTATTTGACACATGAATAGAAAAAGCAACACTAGTATTTCTCTAACTTAGACTCACCTTCTCTATTTAACCTAATGTACTTCTGGAACTTTGTAAGAGCTTCGCCATCATACGGTCTCTCATCTCGGCTTTCATCATTTTCAATCTATAAAAATGAATCCACTTTTGTTACATGCTCAACGAACCAATAAAAATGGCGTTATATGGAACTGTAAATAAATATTTTATCCAAAGCATACCTCAGGAAGATCAGTTATTGCATCTTCAAGATGAAGAGCACTTTCCAAATTACTTTCTTTGATGTCATCGTAACTAACAAGAATTTCCTACAGTGTTTAGCCAAAAGAAGATATTAAACCGATCATTAAATTAAAAACAAAAATAAAAACAGCAAAGTAATGAAATCTAGATGACTCGTCTACCCCAAACTCTTTAGGAACAACTCCCCGGTTAACAACTTGATGTGTTGGTAGAGGGTACTGAGGTAATCTCTGCAACAGAGAGGGAAAAAAAGTGAAAAAGAAATTTTTTTTAACAAGAAATTAGTAAGTGTTAAAAAAGGTTATATTGTGCTCACTTCCAATGGATGAGCACCCCATAGAAAAACACGCATTCTAAACTGTGGCACACCGTAGGCACCAGCAGGCATCATTCCTATCCTGGCCTGGTAATTCATGGACACAAGACATCCTAGCGCATATCGGCCCAAAAATGCATCCTTGAACTTCAATATGTCTACAACATTTTCCATTAAGATATACCTCGGCTTCAAGTATTTAATAATGTCCATATAGACTAACAACTGGTGATTCTTCGTGTCAGCTAAGGGGTCCTCTTTATTCCTGTAACGGTTAAAGCCACTAACTCCCTGACACGGTGGACCTCCACAAATACAATCAACATCACCCTAGAACAATAGAATTATGAGAGTGTTAAAAAAAATTTTGAAAAAATAAAAAATGAACAGCTAGCACTAATCAACAACATGATTAATAAAAAATAAACACTTACTGGCTGAGGAAGAAGTTTCTTCTTGTAACCATCTCTAACAAAGTCCATAAGCCGGTCTTTGCAATCGCTGGTCAAAATAAGAAAACATAAAAATTCTCAATAATGCACATTTAAGAGATTATAACTTTTTACAATCAAGAAATATATGGAAGTTTTCTATAGAAGATTAATACCTTAAGCCATCAAGAGGCTCCCAAGTATCCTCATCAGAATCATAACCCTTCCACCGAACCTAAAAATTTCAATTAAAGGAATAATAATCAATTTACAGCAGAAGAAATTGAGAACTCGACTGAGTTAACGTTGATAAAAAACAATAAAAATGATGTGCCGCAACCAAATTTTATAGCACTCACGACACATTCTTATTACCTTAAAAAAAAAAAAAAAAAAAAAAAAAAAAAAAAAAAAAAAACTGATTACTTTTGAACAAAAGGAAAAGGTTTAAACTTAATGAAAATGATCAATCAACAAACAAGTACTCTACAGATTATTGTGGATCAATTTATCTAACCAATTACTTCATCTTACTTTAGCCAAATATTAATGAGACTAGAAAACATTAGGTTCTTTAACAAAATACATGGAGAGATTCAGCTTTCCACAAGCTTAAAGTGTTCAAAGGCCTAAAAATAAATTATTAAAGGACAATTACAGCAAATAATAAAGGCTAATGCTTAATTATATAGTGCGATATAATGTTATCATTTTCAATTGGCTATCTCTAAGCAACAGACATTTTAATTTCTAATGGTTGTCACTATAATGTGAAAAGAATAAGACAAAAAAATTCTAAGAAGCTAACTATTTAATACCTTAAAGTATAAGCCACTATTCTTGACGTTGTTGGGATCACCATAACAAACACCAAGTAGCCTTTCCACTTCATAAACTTCTGACGGATTAGTACTATCATCACTGCTCTCGTCTTTATCATTTGAAGCATCATCAACCCCACCACTTGAGTCATACTCTTGTAACTCAGAAATTAACTTATCCCACTCTTTAAGGAGATGCAGAAAATCATCTGCAGCCTCATTTCTCACCTGCTCATGGTTGGAAACAAACAATAATAATCACAAGAAATAGAATATCATTTTTTCTCAAGCACAACAGACAAGTAAGGGAGTACCTCGGTCTCAGGATGATTAAGCTTCAAACTCTCACAAGCATAAGAGTTTATATCGACCGCCCATCTCTGTAGAAAAAAAAAAAAAAGAATCAAATTAAGCGCAGAAAATACCACGATCGTGAATCACAAATCACAAATTATATAACAAATCAAATGAATAACGCATTATTTGGCTTACAGTGACAAGATTTATTCCACTACGTTTTGCACCAATGCAAAGTCCAGTAGACATCGCACCGCACCCAGAATACAGATCGAGAAGAGACATCTCAGACTTTCTCAAACTGATGTTTGGAAAAACCTCTCCACTACTTCCACTTTCACTAGAAATGGTAGAAGAAGCTTCGCTATCTTGCCTATAAGTATCTGCACCATCAAAAAGAGAATTCTATTTTCAGCAAACAAGAATAAGGTCTACAACTTGTCTAGTTACTACAAATTAGAGCTAACAACGTACTGGTCTCCAGTGATGCAAATGTCAAGTGCGGAACCAAGTATTTCATGTCATAATAAAGATCGCACTCAGGGATAGTTTTCTCCTTTGCCTCCAAATCCAGCTAGAGTTTAGTAACAAATGAAAGAACATTAAAATAAGATATGTAACAGTAGATGTATAATCATACAAGCAGATAATACAAAGGGAAACACACAATTTCATAAAAACAAGCTCATGGTACCAACGTACATTGGGAGAAACCTTTGCAATTTTGACCTTAGAGACAATGCAATCTATCGGGTTGATATTCCTAATTTCAGACAGAAAAACCCTTCTTTTATCAAACATCTGAGCGTGGTTTGCCAGATCCTTGATTGGCTGTGAATCAAAATCCGAAAACACGTGAACCTCAGTAAACCCAGAAACGTGTTGTTTGGAAAGAATAAAAAGCAAAAAGCAAAAAAAAAAAAGGTATTTTCTTACAGTGTCTTCAGCTCTGTAAAACCATTGAGCCGTGAAATATCGTTCACCATCAACTCCTTCAAAGAATTCAACGATTCTTGCTATGTAATCGGGCTTATCATCTTCAGCCTGAAAGCAATAATCTCAATATATCAACAAATCTTCATAAAAAGTTTAGCTTAATTAAGAGATCACTGAGAAAGCTTACCTTGACATAAGCATCGTCGTTCAGATTAAACACAACTCCTTCTACCATAGCTTGGGTATAGTGGCTCTTAGCTTGAAAATCTCCATCTTCGTCTTCAGTTTCAGTTCTGCAAACAAACAAAAACCTTCAGTAACGCTTAAAAAACAAGCCTTTTACAGCAACTCCGAACAAAACTCACTCTTTCTCCTTCGGCGAATTAGTCCTCTCCTTTCCCTGCAAATCAAAAGAGAAAAAAAAAGTTCAAAATTAAAAATGAGAAGCAGAAACTATAAAATACGAGGAACGATAGTACTCGGAGAATCACCTGGTACCTCCTTGGCCATTTTTGCTTGGCCTCTTCCATCGGAACTGGGTCTCCGACGAGCTTGGACTCGGAATCTCCGTCATTACGCTTCGCTTTCATCCTTTTCGGCGCCATATCTACGCCCTCCAGCTTCTCCGCTTCCTCCTCGGAGTTCTCGGCCTCCACATCCTCCACCGGCTCCGGATCCTGCTCGGCCATTGCTCTTCGGATCTTTTTCTCTTTGCTACCGGTATCGTCCTCCGCCGCGGAATCTCTCTTTCTGCCTTTCGCCATGTTCGGAAGGAGAGAGAGATAGATGTGAGAACTCTCCGAGGGCTTTTGGAAAGCTAGAGAGAGAGAGGAGGCGTTCAGGCGGGTTTTTGCGAGGGTTTTCGAGATCTGAAATTAGTGAAGATGGAATGGGCTGATGTCAAGCCTCTGGGCATATGAAAGGCCTTTTTTTCATTTGAAATTTGAAACGACGAATTGAGCGGGAATCTTAAATTATTTTTATCGTCTTTTCGTCCAAAATTAGGCGCTTTCTGGTTTCCGCGAAATATTTGAACTTTAGGAAAAAGCAGAATTAAATATCAGTTTTTTATGGAAAACTACGAAGGAGAGGCACGTGCAAAAGCACGTGCCTTTTGTTTTTAAAGGACATAGAAGCATTTATGTTGCATACTTGCATTGGATGTAATGTTTAATTAGTTATATAATTATTATTATTATTATTATTATTATTATACTATAGTAATTTTTTAGCTAAAAAATGATAAACTTTTAGAAAGTTTTTTTTAATATTTGTCCTTCTTACTAATGGAAGGTTAAAACTCTCAATTAATAATTAATATATTTCTCAAAAATATAAAAACTTATATAAATCAAATTTTTTAAACACTATGGGGTTGTTCTTTTGCAACAAAACTCAGAAAAAGTTTAAACTCAAGTTACAACTTATTCAAGTTCACGTTCTTTTAAGTTCCAACTTTATTCAACTTCACTTACCCGTTCACTTCGCTGATTCGAGTTTGTAATTCGAGTTGAGATGTGATTTTGTGTGAGAGTTTTTTACTGTAGCAAAAAAGTTAGATGTGACTGTTTCTGAGAGCTTTTTACTGTAGCAAAACTCAAATTTTAAACTCGAATCAACGAAATGAACGGGGCCTCAAGTTACAACTTCAACTCAAGTTATAACTCAAAAACCACACTCAAGTCACACTCCAAAAGAACAACCCCTATAGTTTTATATATTTTTTCATTTATCCTCAATCTCTCGTGGACGTTTAGAGTCCGTTTGGTACCTAGATTCGTTCCCTGATTCGAATCATGGTTCGTGGTTCGCTACAGTATTTTCTCTCATAAAAAATACACGTAAATAAAAAATGGTTCTAATCACATGGTTTGAATCCATGAACCAAACGCCACCTTAGTTTATGGATTCATAACCATGATTTAGAACCATTCTCAATTTACGTGTGTTTTTTGTGAGAGAAAATATTGTAGCGAACCATGAACCATGATTCAAATCATGGTACGAATCTATCAACCAAACACAAGTAATTATCTCTTTTAACTACTCTTAAATCTATTTTATTCTCGCTCTCTTTGAATATACTTATATATTATTCACATGAGATATTTTAAAAGTTGAGAAAAAATCTTGCCCATTCATATCCTTCAATATAAAAAAATGATCATATGCGTTTGGTTGGTGGATTCGTATCATGGTTTGAATCATGGTTCGTGACTCACTACAGTATTTTCTCACATAAAAGACACACGTAAATTGAGAATAGTTCTGAATTATGATTATGAATCCATGAACCAAACGTCGGAGCCCGTTTAGTTCACTGATTCAAGTTTTTAATTCAAGTTAAGATGTGCCTTTATGTGAGAGCTTTTTTTAGAGTTCGTTTGGTATAAGGATTGAAATCAGGGTGATTTGAGTCATTTGATTCAGATCCATGATTCATGATTTGAATCATGATTCAGAGTGATTAGAACATTCGTTTGGATGTGTATATGCATGATTCTGATTCTAACCTGAAATGTGATTCGAATCAGTGTTTGGTTGTCTTATTTTCTGAATTTGAATCATGACCAAAATAATGTAATTTAAAAAATTATATAATAAATATAATTCTTTACGTGTAATTTGAAAAAAAATATAATTCGTTATATAATTTAAAAAATGAAGTACTAGAAAAAAATTATGTAAATAATTATAACTCAAAATTATAACAAGCTAAGTGAGAAATAAATGGAAAAAATGTGAATAAAATTATATAACATGCCAAGCATATATCAAACTTGTCTCCCACGGCTTCCATTATTTAACAAGCCGGTTTAGCAAATTTCTCAACTTCTTCCAAGTACCGATTGTGGGAGAATGCCAACCATCTCTCCCAAGCCAGGGAGTCTGTCGAAAACCTTCCGAAAGAGACGGATTCGCCTAGTGCGTGGAATGGGTCCCCTGTAATAACAAATGCATTCAATTTTCTCACAAATGCAATAATAATAATAATAATAAT